CAGGCCTCCAGGACGCTGCCCACGGAGGGCCCCTGGCACCGCCGCGTCCATCCTGGGCGTGTCCTCCGGCTCTTGGCCGTCACCCCGGGGGCCGGTGCGGCACCTACTTTGTGGGAGATTTATGGTGGGGGAAGAGACATGTTCCCCCTTGAGCAGAGAACAGTGTGTAATCCCCAGGCCGAGCCGGCCAAGCGGGCCCGGGATTGTGAAAGACGGGGTTCCCGGGGTCATTCCCACGGCCGTTGCTACCCAGGGCCCTGTCACCACCATCGCCTCCAGCTCCCAGCTGGCAGGGAGGGCGAGCCTGGGTGGCAGCTCCCCGCTCCCCTCGTCTTAGGATGCGAGACCCGGGAGGCGGGAGACGGAGGGAGACGGTCTTCAAAGTGGCCGCCGTTCGTTACTTGGTGCAAGTTATTTCCCGGAGGCCAGCCATGTGCCGGGAGGGACCGGGCGGCTCCTGTTGGATGACCTGGTTCTCTCTCTCTTTTTTTAAAAAAAAAATTTTTTATTGATTTCAGAGAGGGGGAGAGAGAGAGAGAAACATCAATGAGGAGAGAGAATCATTGGATCGGCTGCCTCCTGCATGCCCCCTGCTTGGGATCGAGCCCAAAACCCGGGCCTGTGCCCTTGATCAGAATCGAACCCGGGACCCTTCAGCCCACAGGCTGACACTCTATCCACTGAGCCACACCGCCCAGGGCCATTATTTCATCTTAACATTTCTCCTTTTTTTAAAAAAATGTAAATCACCTTGGGACAGGTGTTTCTTTTTATAAAATGTAACCAGCTCCCATAGGCGGGGGCCCTGCCAACGCCACGGGTCAGGGCGGGGACCTGCAGGTGTGCAGGCGGGGCCCAGAGAGGCCTGAGGCTCCAGGAAGCCAAGAGGGTCAACGGTGAGGGCCCTGGCTTTGTGTGATCGGTAAGAGCTTGTCTCTTTCCGCTCCCCCGCCCCCCCCCCCCCCCCCGCCCCCAGACGGTCAGCTGTCCCTGAGTGGGGGAGCTTTATTTAGAAAGGGGTCACGTGCCCTGGGCCGCATCCCTCTGCCTTTTATAGTCAGGCGTGGAGACCACACGGTGCCCTCCCGGCCGGCCCACGCCTGTGACCAGGAGGGTGAGACTGCGGGGTCCCCGGGGCCCTGGGCCACCGCCTGGCTCCTTCCTCCCGAGAGAGAGCCTGGCTCTGGGCTCAGTGTCACCCAGTGGAAGTGCGGCTCCTCCGGGCTCCCCGACATCGGCCGTTTGTTTTTAAATAAGGCCCTCAGCTTCGGGGACTCAGGACGCGTCAGAATGGCTCCCCTGGGCCGATGGCTGCAATCCTAGGAATTTGGAAACCAGCTGGGGTGCCTTCCAATCTCCCCAGTGAGACCGGCTCATCACATTGTTCCTATTTTCTTCCTTTTTTAAAAAAAAAAAAATCTTTATTGAAAGTATTACATATGCCTCCCTCTGCCCCCCATTGACGTCTTTTTACCCCATCCCCGACCCTGCCTTGAGTGTGACAGGGGGCAGTGCCCCAACTCCCCAATCAGCCCTGCGCTGCACCTAGGGATTCGATTTGTTGTTCCACGTGTTGACGCATTCATCGGTTGTGGCTCGGACGTGCCCTGACCAGGGATTGAAACCACAGCCTTCGCCTACGGGGCCCATGCTCTAACCCAGTGCTCGGCAAACCGCGGCTCGCGAGCCACATGCGGCTCTTTGGCCCCTTGAGTGTAGCTCTTCCACAAAATACCGACTTCTGCGCACCCACTGAGCTCCTAGGCGGGGCCTTCTGTTTCTCTCCTGCTTCTCCTGTGTGTACACCAGTGGGCAGGGAGGGCCTGGCCCGGGTGGGCCCGTGGCTAAGCTTGCCCTGGGCTGCCTCGCTCAATTTGAGGGCATGGGGTGGTTCAAAGGCTTGGTTTGGGCTGGATGGGGTGGCAGGGGGTGGCTCTCACAACATTAATTCTAGGGGCATAAATTTTTCCCTTTCAGTGAGCCGGGTAACCTTGTGAGATCCATTGTGATTTGTGACAAATTCGGGTCTCAGACTCTAGGAGGCGGGGCCTCTGAGCACCATCCTGGGGGTGGAGGGCCCCCTGGTTTGGAGCAGATGGGAGGCCGCCAAGGTCGCCAGGGATCGCCGGTGGCAGGAGATGCGGTCTTTGCCTGCCACGCCAATAGGGCAACATTGACGTTTTCACGAACACACACTTTTGTACAAAGCGGGACTGAAAAAATAGTAAAGGACATTCCGGCACGGACCAGTGGCGAAGGTCACCGTGTCCCCCACGCGGGGTCGAAGCTGCCAGGACTCATCCTCCGTCCGTGACACAGGGACGGGCAGAGAAGGCACCAGACAGACCGGCCAGCGCATAGTAGGTGCTCAGGAAATGGTGGCAGCTGCTACTCTTTTAAAAAAGTTAAGTGAACCCTGGCCGGTGTGGGTCAGTGGATAGAGCGTTGGTCTGCGGACTGAAGGGTCTCAGGTTCGATTTCTGATCAAGGTCACGTAGATCCTGGCTGGGGCTCGTCTGGGAGGCAACCAATCGATGTCTCTCTCACATCGATGTTTCTCTCTCTCTGTCTCTCCCCCTCCCTTCCACTCTCTATAAAAATCAATGGGGAGATATGCTCCATTGAGGGTTAAGAACAACAAAAAAATTCAGCGAAACTCCAGGATCTAAGATCTAAAGTCCCTCACGTGAAGCCGGGCGGACCCGTGTCTGTCTCTTCCCGTAGCTGCCATGGTTTCTCTCTGCTGCTTCTTCTAAATTGCAAAAAAATGCCGTTATTATAAATAGCGTGGCGCCGTGGAGGCGCGGCCGGCTCCTGTGAATTTAATCTAAATTGTTCAAATTCTTGTTTCTGTCCAGATAAGCCATATCTTTAAAGAACATTCAGTGGGATGAGCACATCTCTCTGGGAAGCCGGTGGGGCCTGCACGGTTACATGTAAACTCGGTCCGTTCAGTTCTCCCACCCCCTGAATGTATGTACCCTGCTTCCAAACCGGGTGTTGGGGAGAACGGGAGAAACGGGATTCTCGTTGGCTCCTGACAGCGGAGAGTGCCTTTTGGAAAGGTGGTTTTACATTTTTCGTTTTCCTTCTTTATTTTTTGTGGGGACGGCAGTCGGGCGGTGGCAGAGTGGGCACAGTGTGGGGTGGAGAGGGCAGGGACGTACATGTTTCTCGGTGCCACGGGCCGCGCTCGCGTGGTCAGGAGAGCCAGGCCTCGGGGGCAGGCTGGACCCGTGCCTGCTGGGCCTCTTTGGGTAATACCTGCTCCTGTGTGTGTGTGTCATGCTAGCTCTGTGTGTGTGTGTGTGTATGTGTGTGTGTGATACTAGCTCTGTGTGAGGCCATGTGTGCATGTATTTGTCTGTGTAATACTAGCTCTGTGTATGTGCACAAATACATGCATGTATGCATATGGACGTGTGCATGTGTATATGCGTATATGTATGCATATGTGTGTGGATGTGTGTGTGCATGGGTGTACACATGTTTGTGTGCATGTGTGTGCATATGTGTCTGTGTGTATGTGTGCACTCGCACACACACCCCACTTTATCCTCCAGCCTCTGCTCCTATTGGGGCAGTTTGTTGTCTCACTCACTCGCCTCCTCCCCCAGCGCTGTGTGTCCTCCCCGAGCGCTCCCTCCCGGCCGCGCAGGGATCAGGTGTGTGGCGATGCGCAGGCATGCCAGCCCCTTCCGGAAGCCCGGCTCCCGTGTCATCCTGGCTCCCGGGTCATCTCCTTATGGAGCAGAAGTCGCTTTTGGTTTCTCTGCCTCGGACACAAACCACAGCCCCACCCCCTCTCCTTTCTCCCGGCTGTTTGTTACGAAATCCACGCCGGAGGGGAGCAGAGGCAGCATTTGGGGGCTCTGGGCTGCCTGATGCTCACCCTGGGGAGGCTGCCTCAACTGTGTTTGTGCAGCGTGTGAGGCTGCAGTTGGGGGAGCCCCTGTAG